AGTTTTCTTACCTCTGAAAAGTATCTCTGAAGTACTTCCTTCTGATGAAAGTCCAACAGATTTCTTCACTAAAACATCAGAACAGATATAAAATCAAAAAAGATAAAGTAAGGGAACAACAACAGTTTAAATACACTGAATTAAAATGTTTGTACATTAAATAATTAATTTCTCAAAATCAGACACTTTTGGCTTTGCTATTAAGTAGAGTTCATCTTTCTGTCTAGTAAAGAACTGTCTGTTGCATAAACAGTGAACTTGAGAATCACGTTGAAAGGGAGGGGTAGTTATGACATGGACTTATACACCTGAGGTCCTATTGTAAACAAAGAAACTTGATCCAGATACATTTTCCTAGAATTAAAAACAAAACAACCCCCCCCCATCTAACCACAAGTGGCCTTTAACATTTTTCAGTCTGTGACCACTAAATTGACGAGACCTTGATATGTACACGTGGAGCTGGGTGGTGAGATCAATGACAACTTCTTAACAGCCAGTTAAGGTGTAAATAAAGATGTTGATATCAAGGCCCTTGTTTCAGAAAGAATAGCTATCCTACCCTAAGTAGAAAGCAGATACTCTGAGTAGTTTTATCCAACTCTTCCTTACTAAAACTTTCCGTGATATCACTCGGGTCAGTAAACGCATCTAATCAAGTCTGAGTTAAGCAGGGGCACAAGTGCTCATCGATGGAAAACAGATAACCAAATTCACCATGTTAATGACAGGACAGAGGCTTTGAAGTCTGCATTTATACACCCATGAAATTACTATGGTTGATATCAGAAAATGACTATGCACAAATATTCAGGGGAAAAAAACATCACTGATGCCTCTGCAAAAGAGCAAGAGTGAGCTTGGTACAAAAATGCAAACTACGTCATTGCCTGCATTTTATTTGACAGATAATCAAAGTTACAGTATATTGTCCATGATGCAGAATTAAACTTTCAAGAGAAAAGGGATTTTTTTTGGTATGCTTTGAATATATGTATAGGTGCATCACAACAGGCACCAAAAGGGCGTGGCAGCAAGGGAAGATAGGGGGTAAGATATACAGTTAAGGTTCCAAGCTATCTCTAACCTTAAGACACCATATAAGACTTAGAGAAACTTTGTCACATTGTATACACAGAGTGGTTTGGAAAGATCTCATTACATTTCCATTTTTTTTGAAGTGCTGCAGTGATCAAATGTAAAAATTTGGAGAAAAAACATGGTGCAAAAAACGCATTTATATGGTCTGTTTGATGCAGAGACGATGATATGATTTACGATTTTTTCAACATTTAGCTTTTTTTTTTTAGTTCTTTTCAACAGTTCAGCTGTCTGGTGGTTGTGTGAAAGAAGCTGTTGTGGAATCTGCTGGACCCGCATCAAATGCTGCGGAGTTTCTTCCCACAGGGCAGCAGGGAGATCAGTCCATGGTGGGGGTGTGATGGGTCATTTATGATGTTACGGGCTTGGGACACGCAGCGCTGGGATGAAATGTTTTTAATAGAGGGAAGAGGAGCTCCGATGATCTTCTCTGCTGTTCCCACCACTCTTCTCACTTTCTTCCAGTCTGAGGCACTGCAGCCTCCACACCACACAGTGAGACAGCTGGTCAGAATGCTCTCTATGGTTCTTCTGTAGAAGGAAGTGAGGATGGGTGGGGGCAGGTGGGTTCTCCTCATCCTCAAAAGTAGGTACATGCCCTTTTGTGCCGTTTTTACCAGTGAGGTGATGTTTACAGTCCAGTATCAGGGTGTCTGTGATACGCACCTACAGGAATTTGCTGCTGTTCACCACCTCTACAGCTGAGTTATTGATGAGCAGTGGAGCATGGTTAAGCCGGTTCTTCCTGAAGTCCAAGATGATCTCCTTCATTTTCTCCACATTCAGCATCAGGTTGTTGTCTCTGCATCAGTCCAGAAGCTTCCCCACCTCCTCTCTGTAGTCCTGGCTGTTATCGTATCTAATGAGGCCCACTTCTGTGGTTTCATCTTCATAATGTGATTGGTGGTGAACCTGGAGACTGTTTCTTCAGGGTGAACAGCAGGGGGCTCAGGACGCAGCCCTGGAACTTGTGCTTAGGGTGATGACATTACAGGTGTTCTGTCCACTGACTGAGGACTGTTTTTGAGGAAGTCTAACAGTCAGTTGCAGACAGGTGTTTTGAACGCCATCTGTTGCAGTTTTCCTATCAGATGCTGTGATCGCCCGTATGCCTTTCCACATCCTCCTGGGTGCTGCTGGCGTCATGGCAAAAGATCCTGGATTTTCTGGCTGTGCTCCTGCTTCACTGATCTGTTCAAGTTGGCATGTACTGTCCTCAGTGCCTTTTTATCAGCAGATTTGAAAGAAGAGTTCCAGGCTTTTAGTGATCTCCGAACCTCCCTATTCATCCAGCGTCAATGGTTTGCAGGGATGGGGATTTTCTTTGTGATGCTGACATCCTCAATGAATTTGTTGATGTAGGCTGACAGAGTCACGGCATACTTATCTATATTTAATATGTTGTCATAGGTTGCTGCAGCTTATTTAGTGTTGGAATTTTATCAAACCTGTAGGTGGAAAGCACATCATATGTTTGGCGTGTGTTCCACAACCGGTTTGTGTTTTAACTGAAAACAAGCTTGTTTTTGTTTGGGTTTATCATAGAGAAAAAGACACATGACTCTAAAAGAAGCTGTGCTGCTCCTCTAAAAAAAAGCTTTGTGGTTGTTACACCCAACTATGATGGAGATCAAGACCTAAACTATGCACAGAGAGCCTTGTTCCCAGCAAGGAGGATTGTCACAACTATGACATCATTGACAGGGCTTGAGTAAGTAAGTGAGCAGAAATATGGTCCTAACATTTTTGGGCATCAGAATCCACAAAGATTAAATTCATGCTATATGAAACAATCATTTTTTTTTATTGTTTTATATTGTAATGACAACACATGCTATCTTCTTATAGCAAGATTTATGAAAACATATTTATACTTTAGCATCCCATATAAATGCTGCTGTAAGGGTTTAATGTTTCCTTGTGAGAAGAATAAGAGTATTAATTCTGTTAGATCTGCTGGTGCAAACACTATTGGTGACGTCAGACCTCCACCT